GCCCAGGCTGGCCTCGAACTCACAGAGATCCGCCTGGCTCTGCCTCCCGAGTGCTGGGATTAAAGGCGTGCGCCACCACCGCCCGGCTAGTTCAGGATTTTTTAATCGATCCCTAGACAGGAAGAAAATTTCCACCCGGCTTCATGATGGAAAGAGCAGGCTCCTGTCTTCTCCTAAGGACACCATCAGGCCTGGCTGCACTGACAGAGAAGGCTGTACAGAGAGCTGTGTGGGAGAGAAGAAGGGTGTTCAAATAGCTTCCTCACTTTCTCAGCTGAAATCTCCCCATGCCAGCCCCTGAGGACTTGTGTTTCTCTGTCTCTTATCAATTGTCCACTCCCATCACTGTGCTCTTCAACTTTCTCCCTCCAGGAATCCATCCTTTCCATGCTTATCACCTTCTGGAATCCTCCAGCTGCTCCTGTATCAAGTGTAGACTTCTGACTATTCCTGCTGGACTCACCTTCTACGATAGAATGTCCAGCAGCTCACCGGGGGGCAGAGAGAACAATACAGCTCTGTGCATTATATTGTTTTTCACCCCCCCAGCTGCTCATGGAGCCCAGTAGAAGTCACACTGAGAGAACCCAGTCTCAGCTTTTGTCCAGAGAACACGGGGTTGTCAGTTTCTCTATCTCTGGACATCAGAGAGACACCACGCTGTCAGCCTCTCCAATAGTCTAGTGATGAATTCCTGGAGCCCTTCTGATGCAGTTACCATAGGGTCACCATAGGCAAGAAATGTCCACTGTGGAGAAAGGGTGGGTTCTTTTTAAAATATGTTTTAATGGAAATAGAATTACATCACTTTCCCCTCCATCCCTACTCTTTATCCCCTCCCAGGCACCCTTCCTCCAAAGTCTCACATGCCTCCCACTCTCAAGTATATAACTTCTTTTAATTTCATTATTATTATTATTATTATTATTATTATTATTATTATTATTATTTGTGTGTACATATGTGTGCACAAATATATAAATACAATCTGCTGAGTCAGTCTGTTTTTGTTGTTTGTGTGTATCATTTCAGATACACACAATTTCAGACACCCTCATCAAGAAAGCCTGTCTTTACAGTAAATGGAGGCAGTCATAGAAAATCACAACTGGATACAAGAGTAGAGACCCATGAATTGTGGGGAGTACAACCACATAAGGTACTTCTACATCATAACTCCTGCATCCAGGTTCCAGGGAACATGACAGAAGAGGGTGCAGAAGGATTGTAAGAGTCATAATACCAGGAATTCTTCAAATTCTTCAGCAAAACACTTCCTCTTTCTTTCTTTCTTCCTTTATTTCTACCTTCATTTCTTTCTTTCTTTTTTCCTTTTTCTCTCTCTCTCCCTTCCTTCCTTCCTTCCTTTCTTTTTCTCTCTTTCTCTTTCTTCTCTATCACATTCTTTCTCTCTCATTTTATGTCTCTGTAGGCCTCTCCAAGCCTCCACTTCCCTGTCTCTATCTTCTTAACTCTCTCTCCATTTCTCTCTCTCTCTTTCTCTCTCTCTCTCTCTCTCTCTCTCTCTCTCTGT